CAAGCTTTAAATTGTCCTTGCTCTTTTCATGTAGAAGCATTCCATCTCCATATGATGTCCACTTATCTGCTCTTACGTTTGTTACGCGCAGGCCAAATTCCCCATCTTCATCGTGCATGCACTTACTAAGTAAGTGGCCAACACTGGCTGGAGTGGTTTCCTTTCTCAACTGAACTCTTGGCGTCCTGTAATAACAAGACATGAAGGAGTTTTGTTACTAAATGTAGAGTCCATATATTCGTGGAAAAATGTTGTTGTAGAAAAAAGGTTTAATACGGGAAATACAGAGGAAATGATAATTGGAGGAAATCTTCCACAGGCGTGCACATATTGAGTTCAACTTTTTCAGCTGATCCGACGCAGGTCACCGGCTTCATGTTTCGTAACTGGTAAAAAAAATTAATTCAATGTAACCAACGTTGAATTTGAGTGACAATTCATGCTGGGATTCACATATTTGGTGGTATCTACAGCTTGTCGCTTACGGAAAAAAAAGAAAAAAAACGTTGCGATGGAAATTCCTGGGATATAAAGGTGTTATTTTCTTATTCTAATTAATTTCGTGGCTAACGCTAACCGCCCCCAAACAATGCCTTGTAATTCTTTTCATTCTATTAGCGTATTCGTTAGGAACAAAAACATTCAAATTAACATATTATGTTTCGGGATGCAATTTTCAAGTATAATTCTTTCATGAATTGGAAGCGCAGAGGCAGATGAAAATTAAAATGCTTATTGAATTTTCCAGCTGTTAATTGCAAGAGTTTTCAAGAAAATTATTTCCAAATTTTGGAGGATTTCACAGCACATTCTGCAGTTTTGTGTGACGTTCGTATGATAGAGAAATTAATTTGAAATGCTCCAGGGAAGGTACATGAAACGGCTCGTTCCCTACAAAGGCTTAAAGGCTCGACAATAAACTGTACAACGTATGATTTGTATTGGTGTAAAAGCTTCCAGTGGACTTTCCAGTGGACTTTCCAGTGAACATCAGAGCGGTACCCGCGCGTTATAGCGTGACGCGGGCCTTTCGACAACTCGGTAAAATATAAGCTCTTTTCACCAGGATTAGTGCTCGTGATTATTGGTACTCTATTAGCTACTTTAGATAGTACCTCGTAGTTAAATGTTAATGAGAAATACAACGTTGACTCTTACCCTTGTGGCTGGATCTTTCAACGATATTAGGGCGAGACAGCAACAGCAATTCTTGCGCTCTCCTAATGGCTTGAGCAAATGAACTCTATGTATGCTTTGTTCTGGACATCCTCCTTATATGCGCTCCGGGAGGCAGTTCTTCCTGCTACTAGACGCCATTTGCTCTTCCGGGGGATGTCAGCGTCAACGTTATAATTATTTTTCGTGGGCTGCTCTTACGCATTGTGAAAACATCGTAACTTCATTCATACGGTGGACTCATTTGACGCAAACATGGCAGGTGTCTTTACACAGACTAGCGTATAAATGTATTTCAATGAAAGTAGGAGGTCATCCAAAAAACGTATATTTCTTGTCAACGCTAATAAAAACCTCGCACTAAGTTTAGCCTAAGTCGAATTTTCGGCTTCTTACGAGACGAATTTCTTCAGCATGGCAGGCACTTTAGAGGCTGAAACTTCGGTGAGTGGAAAAGCCGAATGTTTACTTGCAGTAGGTGACGACAAAAAAGCAACCTTTTTGGAGTGAGGTTCTCCTTTAACAAACAAAATCTGTACGGAACGTTTGCCATAAACTGTGATAGCAATCACATCCGGCCGGAGTATTCAAGTTCCCATCTCGTAAACCAGCTGACGTCATTCAAACGACCCCGCGTAAACAAGAGGAGGAGGGAGCCAAGGATAAAGTCCAAACTAAGCCATGTTGACCAACAGATTTGATTGTAACTAAAAACGAACCATATGGCACGATACAGAAAATCTCACAAAAACGAAAGATGTAATTTTCTCCTACCGTCTTGATTTTTTTTGTTTTGACTTCCGCTACAAGAACTTGCGTTATGTGCGTGTATCACATTACCATATTGCAGGCTTCCCCTGTCATGTACACACACATATTACCATATTTTGAGCTTCCCGTATTACTGGTTGGTCTTCTCGCGGACTGAGTATGACTTCCTGTATTGGGTAATGTTAAGCAATTAAAGATTATGCTTGATTTGTACTGCAAAGATGATTGTAAAATAACTCATGTGCAATTTACCCCAGGTTCGTCCATTATTCACTGCCATATAGATCGTCTCTTTGTAATTACCGCACACTAATTTTGCCTTGACTTTGATGACTAAGCACACATTCAAATATTTCTTTTTAACATTGTTTTAAAAGTAGGTAAAAATCAAGGGAGGCGATTGAGCTGCCATAGAAGCAATTAGAATAGAGGGTATTATTATTCCTTTGCAATTTATGAGCGTTTGTTCATCGCCTGTTGTGGACGAGTCGGGTGTTACCTCATTGGTTTGTTTATTTCTAGTGTTTACAATTAGCACACCAGTACTGAGTATTTCTAATTTCTAGTTAATAGAGGGGAAGGTTTTGAAACCCGGCAAACTTTAAAGCAGGAAACAAAGATTATTTATTTATTCCTTTATTTATTATTGTCTCGGAGAAATTGGCTATACAGTTACTCTTGTAAATCCGAGGTGAAATAAAGGTGATTTATCTTTTTCTCGGCTCGTGAGCGGGCTGAATTCAATAAATCCTGCAATCTGATTGGTTCCTGGAGCGGGCGGAATTTTCTCATCCGGACCGCCACAGCGGGCGGAATCCGTCAAGCTGATCTATTTTCGTGAACGAATTAGCGGTAATCGTCATCTTTCGCCCTTTTTTACACTTCCATTGACGATTAATCAACGCAAGTTTATCTCTACTCACCTTTAAATATCAAGGAAAGTCGCTGTAACTAAATTCAATTGAGTTTTTTGAAGTTGTAAGAGTTTGTTTGGCTGTTTGTAGCTCGGCGCTATAATGGCGCCTAATCCTCTGTCTCTCTCTGTACAGTTTTAAGTAAAAAATGAGTCAAATTCAGTCGAGTTTACCTCTCCGATCGTTGTCGTATTTGAGAGAATTTCTGTTGAATACACTTCACGAATTTCCTGGCTATCTGCCCCTCAATTCACGATAGAAAAGTCTGATTTCGAGTGATTCGCAACGACTAACAGAAATTGTTTTTGTAGTACAACTTCAAACTTTGCACGAAATTTCACGCCGGAAAAACACTTTTAGAGAACTTAAATGGTGAACTAAATGCAACTAACGTAAAGTAGTTCAGTATAAAATAATCTTTTCTTTAATACATCTTTCTTTGTCTAGTATTTGAGTTACTCTCTCGTTCGCTCGTTAGATTTTTTTAGCAATGGTTTCTAGAGTCTGTAGACGGCACGTAAGCCAATTTAATGACAAAGCTGCGTAAACAAACCCATTTGTAAGCCAATTTACCGCAAGAAAAAAAAGATAAAAATGTTATTGTCCGGCTTAGGGTCCGTCCGTATAGTGAAAAACTGTGACCTCGGGCTTGAAAATGCTGCCCGAGGCAGCCTCGGGCAGCATTTTCAAGATCTTGGTCACAGTTTTTCCCTATACGGACCGACCCTAAGCCGGACAATAACATATATGCATGTATGTATGTATATGATAAGAATAATGCTAAAAGGTCCAGGACCATGCACAATCTTTCGTTTTTCGCTCATACGTTATGCCTTAATTACCGGGTCGAAGTAAACAACTGCTTTGTTTCGTGTTCGGACAAGGCCAAAAACTAACCCCCCCCCCCCAAAAAAAAAAANGGACAAAGAAATTAAAACTGCAATATAAAGTGGCTGTCAAGTTGCCATTCAGGCGAGTACAGTTTGTAAGCCTGACAGTGCAATTCATTCTGCAGAAACTTTTTTCTTCATTTTTTCTTAGCACGATTTCCTTTTTCAGTCGCCCTCCCTTGCATGAATATTTTTCCCATCCCCCATCACTTTTCTAATGGTCCGTTCCTAACGTTATCGGCCACTTGATCAACCGACGGCGAGGTAATTTAATTTTGTTTTATTATTTGTTCAGAACAGACTCCTTCAACTGCATCCATTGTATTCGTCATATACATGGAGCGTGTCCAAAAATATCGCCTTTGAGGTTTCTAACAAGGCACTATAACGTCACATGTCGTTGAACTCACGCCATTATTCACAAAAAGCTGTCAGCTTGACCAGATTTATGATGTTTAAAAGCTATAAAGTGAAAACCAGTTTTCTACGCAGCTATAGAAAACCTCAACACTGACTCTGAAATAATCAAAACGGATCAAGAAAGCTAAAAATATCTTAAAAGTAAAAGTGACTTCAAGAAAGATGACAATTTTTTTTTCTAAGGAAATTCAAAATTACAAAAACATACCAGTCAAATTCGGGTACCAAAGAAATGTCAAGCTTGTTAACTGTTAACATGTCATCGAAATTGTTCCCAGGTAGACTTTACAAAAAGTCACCAAATTTGAAGTTTATCGCCTTAATGGATGTAGTGCTAAAAGAGCTTAAAATTGCGAAGGGAAAGTAATTCACATCAACATGAAAGACGCCCAAACAGCCCATACAGCCTCAGTCATAAAACAAAATTCTGACTGAGGCAAGGTCTATGGTTCAATTCACTTCCTAGGTATTTAGGGTGTTTATTTATTTGCCAGTAGTGTTTTACTTTCCCCCTTCCAAATAACAACAACAACAACCAAAAAAAAGTGGGCTAAGTGCCTCGGTTTGCCTCAAACTGCTACGGTCCTGACAATATAACAACATAACGGTAAAACAATGACAACATAACAATGGCAATATAAAACATGACGCAACGATCCAGACGATCAATCGCGTGTAGGAAGCAGTTTCTACTGATGCATGCTTGTGTGGAATACAAATATCGAGTTGGCAATATGTGAAATGTATCTAGGGATTGCATAAGTAGAAATAGACAACAATATTACAGCCTTAATTTACAGAAAAGTAAACACAGATCAAACCCGAAATGTACACTAAAATCCCTTTATTATTTAGAAGGCTTCAACTAAAGGTTCTCTACAAATCGTTACCATCTTAGTAAATTTTCATTTCTAAAATGTTGTTACGGTCAATCGGTTTACTTGGATTTGATCGGAAATAAATAGAACAGCGGAGGAAAAGTTCAATGAATAAATACAGCAGAACCATTTATAAAACTAAAAAAACTAACTATATTGTTAACTCCAGTAAATACCGTGCATGCTCCAGTTATTCTACTTGATAATATCAGCACTTTGTTATTATAAAGTACTGTACGTGTTATTATAAACTACTTTTGCTATGAACAAGTACAGTTTGAAAAAGGGTCTTCGTTCCCCACCAACTAGTCACTGTTCTATGGTCGTGTAGATCATTGACTTTTGACCTTCTACAGAGTTTATCGTCTTTGACTTGGAACAATGGATGTGTGTTTTTCTCTTCCTGGTCAACAAATGGAATCAGATCGGTCACCACAGTTGTTTCAAGAGTTTTTGTGGGGTTCCTGTAAGCTTTGTACACCTGATCAACTGATAGCCGCACAGCCTCGGTTACAAGCTTTAAATTGTCCTTGCTCTTTTCATGTAGAAGCATTCCATCTCCATATGATGTCCACTTATCTGCTCTTACGTTTGTTACGCGCAGGCCAAATTCCCCATCTTCATCGTGCATGCACTTACTAAGTAAGTGGCCAACACTGGCTGGAGTGGTTTCCTTTCTCAACTGAACTCTTGGCGTCCTGTAATAACAAGACATGAAGGAGTTTTGTTACTAAATGTAGAGTCCATATATTCGTGGAAAAATGTTGTTGTAGAAAAAAGGTTTAATACGGGAAATACAGAGGAAATGATAATTGGAGGAACGTTTGTGTTTTGATATTAAAAATAAGTGGACGCCGATGTATGAATTAATTATTTTCTATTCGACAAATTTCTAAATCAACAGATATCTTAATTACACTTAGAAGTATAAGAAAATATGTAACATATCATTTACCTGATGTGTCCACTCGAGAAGCTGTCAGTAAGAAAATGACAAGCAAACCCGTCCAACGATAATGCTTCATGAAGGAATCTCTTACTCTCATTCCCTGCATATTCACTCGCTTCTCTCGCTTTGTTCAGAGCTAACAGATGACCCGCAAGATATGCGTCTTTAGCGTGAGGAAGGAAATGGTCGTAATTATTCTGAGCTAATTCTAACATCCGTCCATGTTTAATCGGCAGGCCACCTAGCCACATCCCACCGGTGATTTGGTCCCATTCTTTGTTGCCGATGCTTGCACCTGTTTGGCTTTCTTTGTCTAATGCCGTGATCAGCTTGTGCAACTCTTTCTGTAATTTGTCCTTCGGTGCACGAGCCAGAGAGTTGTATGCAGCAAGGAAGCGCTGCTGACGATCAGAATCAGCTTGGTTTATTCCTTTAGAAGGATCGATAATTGGATGCTCTGGTATACCATAAAAATCGCCTGCAAGTGCTATGATTTGCCCGAATGACATCTCCACACCATTTGGAAGCTCGATATGTCTTAGCTCGGCTTGTCTCAACTCGATTTTTTCTCCAATGAATTTGTGTTCGAATGAACAAAAATCAACACAGTCCTCTCCAGTCATGGGCTTGGCGTCTTCCACAGGCGTGCACATATTGAGTTCAACTTTTTCAGCTGATCCGACGCAGGTCACCGGCTTCATGTTTCGTAACTGGTAAAAAAAATTAATTCAATGTAACCAACGTTGAATTTGAGTGACAATTCATGCTGGGATTCACATATTTGGTGGTATCTACAGCTTGTCGCTTACGGAAAAAAAAGAAAAAAAACGTTGCGATGGAAATTCCTGGGATATAAAGGTGTTATTTTCTTATTCTAATTAATTTCGTGGCTAACGCTAACCGCCCCCAAACAATGCCTTGTAATTCTTTTCATTCTATTAGCGTATTCGTTAGGAACAAAAACATTCAAATTAACATATTATGTTTCGGGATGCAATTTTCAAGTATAATTCTTTCATGAATTGGAAGCGCAGAGGCAGATGAAAATTAAAATGCTTATTGAATTTTCCAGCTGTTAATTGCAAGAGTTTTCAAGAAAATTATTTCCAAATTTTGGAGGATTTCACAGCACATTCTGCAGTTTTGTGTGACGTTCGTATGATAGAGAAATTAATTTGAAATGCTCCAGGGAAGGTACATGAAACGGCTCGTTCCCTACAAAGGCTTAAAGGCTCGACAATAAACTGTACAACGTATGATTTGTATTGGTGTAAAAGCTTCCAGTGGACTTTCCAGTGGACTTTCCAGTGAACATCAGAGCGGTACCCGCGCGTTATAGCGTGACGCGGGCCTTTCGACAACTCGGTAAAATATAAGCTCTTTTCACCAGGATTAGTGCTCGTGATTATTGGTACTCTATTAGCTACTTTAGATAGTACCTCGTAGTTAAATGTTAATGAGAAATACAACGTTGACTCTTACCCTTGTGGCTGGATCTTTCAACGATATTAGGGCGAGAAAGCAACAGCAATTCTTGCGCTCTCCTAATGGCTTGAGCAAATGAACTCTATGTATGCTTTGTTCTGGACATCCTCCTTATATGCGCTCCCGGAGGCAGTTCTTCCTGCTACTAGACGCCATTTGCTCTTCCGGGGGATGTCAGCGTCAACGTTATAATTATTTTTCGTGGGCTGCTCTTACGCATTGTGAAAACATCGTAACTTCATTCATACGGTGGACTCATTTGACGCAAACATGGCAGGTGTCTTTACACAGACTAGCGTATAAATGTATTTCAATGAAAGTAGGAGGTCATCCAAAAAACGTATATTTCTTGTCAACGCTAATAAAAACCTCGCACTAAGTTTAGCCTAAGTCGAATTTTCGGCTTCTTACGAGACGAATTTCTTCAGCATGGCAGGCACTTTAGAGGCTGAAACTTCGGTGAGTGGAAAAGCCGAATGTTTACTTGCAGTAGGTGACGACAAAAAAGCAACCTTTTTGGAGTGAGGTTCTCCTTTAACAAACAAAATCTGTACGGAACGTTTGCCATAAACTGTGATAGCAATCACATCCGGCCGGAGTATTCAAGTTCCCATCTCGTAAACCAGCTGACGTCATTCAAACGACCCCGCGTAAACAAGAGGAGGAGGGAGCCAAGGATAAAGTCCAAACTAAGCCATGTTGACCAACAGATTTGATTGTAACTAAAAACGAACCATATGGCACGATACAGAAAATCTCACAAAAACGAAAGATGTAATTTTCTCCTACCGTCTTGATTTTTTTTGTTTTGACTTCCGCTACAAGAACTTGCGTTATGTGCGTGTATCACATTACCATATTGCAGGCTTCCCCTGTCATGTACACACACATATTACCATATTTTGAGCTTCCCGTATTACTGGTTGGTCTTCTCGCGGACTGAGTATGACTTCCTGTATTGGGTAATGTTAAGCAATTAAAGATTATGCTTGATTTGTACTGCAAAGATGATTGTAAAATAACTCATGTGCAATTTACCCCAGGTTCGTCCATTATTCACTGCCATATAGATCGTCTCTTTGTAATTACCGCACACTAATTTTGCCTTGACTTTGATGACTAAGCACACATTCAAATATTTCTTTTTAACATTGTTTTAAAAGTAGGTAAAAATCAAGGGAGGCGATTGAGCTGCCATAGAAGCAATTAGAATAGAGGGTATTATTATTCCTTTGCAATTTATGAGCGTTTGTTCATCGCCTGTTGTGGACGAGTCGGGTGTTACCTCATTGGTTTGTTTATTTCTAGTGTTTACAATTAGCACACCAGTACTGAGTATTTCTAATTTCTAGTTAATAGAGGGGAAGGTTTTGAAACCCGGCAAACTTTAAAGCAGGAAACAAAGATTATTTATTTATTCCTTTATTTATTATTGTCTCGGAGAAATTGGCTATACAGTTACTCTTGTAAATCCGAGGTGAAATAAAGGTGATTTATCTTTTTCTCGGCTCGTGAGCGGGCTGAATTCAATAAATCCTGCAATCTGATTGGTTCCTGGAGCGGGCGGAATTTTCTCATCCGGACCGCCACAGCGGGCGGAATCCGTCAAGCTGATCTATTTTCGTGAACGAATTAGCGGTAATCGTCATCTTTCGCCCTTTTTTACACTTCCATTGACGATTAATCAACGCAAGTTTATCTCTACTCACCTTTAAATATCAAGGAAAGTCGCTGTAACTAAATTCAATTGAGTTTTTTGAAGTTGTAAGAGTTTGTTTGGCTGTTTGTAGCTCGGCGCTATAATGGCGCCTAATCCTCTGTCTCTCTCTGTACAGTTTTAAGTAAAAAATGAGTCAAATTCAGTCGAGTTTACCTCTCCGATCGTTGTCGTATTTGAGAGAATTTCTGTTGAATACACTTCACGAATTTCCTGGCTATCTGCCCCTCAATTCACGATAGAAAAGTCTGATTTCGAGTGATTCGCAACGACTAACAGAAATTGTTTTTGTAGTACAACTTCAAACTTTGCACGAAATTTCACGCCGGAAAAACACTTTTAGAGAACTTAAATGGTGAACTAAATGCAACTAACGTAAAGTAGTTCAGTATAAAATAATCTTTTCTTTAATACATCTTTCTTTGTCTAGTATTTGAGTTACTCTCTCGTTCGCTCGTTAGATTTTTTTAGCAATGGTTTCTAGAGTCTGTAGACGGCACGTAAGCCAATTTAATGACAAAGCTGCGTAAACAAACCCATTTGTAAGCCAATTTACCGCAAGAAAAAAAAGATAAAAATGTTATTGTCCGGCTTAGGGTCCGTCCGTATAGTGAAAAACTGTGACCTCGGGCTTGAAAATGCTGCCCGAGGCAGCCTCGGGCAGCATTTTCAAGATCTTGGTCACAGTTTTTCCCTATACGGACCGACCCTAAGCCGGACAATAACATATATGCATGTATGTATGTATATGATAAGAATAATGCTAAAAGGTCCAGGACCATGCACAATCTTTCGTTTTTCGCTCATACGTTATGCCTTAATTACCATGTCCAAGTAAACAACTGTTGTGTTTCGCGCTCGGACAAGGCCAAAAACTTAAACAAATTAANCCCCCCCCCCCCAAAAAAAAAAATACAGTAAAGAACTTTTTACAACCATTCCCTTGTTTAGATTATAGATAGGGATATTTTTGTGTCAGCAAGTTATGCTTAGCTGAAAAGGTAAGTTTCGCACATGAAGAAATGGAGTATGGATTTTTGAATAGATTAGCATAGAAGACGCAGGCAATAAGAATCCTTTAATTTAGAGCTTTACATAAGCAAATAACGGGAGAGGGATCCTTGCGACAAGGAGAATGAAAACATGGACGAGATAAGAATCAAACAGTTCAATTTAAATATTAAAATACACGTATAAAATGACGAAAACTGATAGGTTAGTAACAAACCAAATGTCACATGTAGTGGCATTTGGCATTACGTTCATTTACTGACAGGTGGCTCTTATGCGACAGTTCACAGTTAACATTGCATCAACTGACTTTCACAATAATGTTTTCACTAATAATGAGATCTGAAATCTGGAAGGGCAAGTTGTCTTACTTTCTCCTTAGTTTTGTTTCTTCTTTTCCCTTTCAGCCATTCAGTCTATTAGTGTACGAATGGCCTTCTCTAAACGACCTTAACTGATGCTGCTGTTGTAATCGATTTTGACGCATACGGGCCCTGTCAGACAGAGACAGCCAACGTCATTCTATAGTAGACGGACCTACGTATCGAAGAACATACAAAATAATACAGAACAAGCAGCGCTTGGCTTTGTTTAAGTTACCTGGCAACTTTAAGGTGGTGGATTGGAATTAAATCATTTGTGTCACTTTAAAGATGCGTCGTCCCAATTTTGGAGAGACACCGGTCATTTCTATTTTGAATTAACGGCTGACAGCTACACTCTCTGAACTTGACCGGAAAAACTGCTTAACGCATGTAATGGATGACTGAACGATTCAAAAACATACGTCACTGATTGATCGATTGACATCGTTAGTATACCTGTGTTGAATTTTCTGCTCGTGAAGATCTAAAACGATTTCAACACGGACTCTTCTATTCTAGATGTGGCCTTGAAGACTGCAAAATTTAAACCAGGTGGTGTGACCTACTTTTTTGCTTGAAAGCTTGGTACGGTTGTACTACAGTTCTTGCTCAAAAGGGTGCGTGACGCACGCCAAACGCGAAGTCGATACAAAGTGTCACTGACCCAAGCTGTTCCTAAACATACAAATTAAACCTCTTAAAGTCTGTTTAACATATCTGGCTAGAAGCACATTTGACGGATTTAAACCTGCATGCCGTGGGTGTCGTTAAAATGGCCCTTTTTTACGTCTTTGGTCAGGGCCGTTTACCTATAGAAATGTTTAAATGATATGTTTTTAAACGGTATTCCATTCTTTTGAGCCTTTTATCCAAACCCGGAACCCTTCTCTCCTCTTACTTATTCCACGCTCTCTCTTCTCTCCATCTCTCAAGTCAACCATCCGTCATCAAGTGCCTGATGGTAAACAACCTATATTGCGTCAATAAGTTGTGTATTCCTGCATTACTCTTAAGCTAGAACGGTCTTCCTACCCAATAGTAGGACATCCACTGGGAAGTGCTGCATTATTCGGCTAGGACTTCCTGCATTATCAAGTTGCGGCATTCCTAATTCCGCTAACCGAAAGCAAGCAACCGACGAATTATCGACTATACTATCCGTATTAATAATTCTATTAAGCAATAAGATTATGAGCTCGAGATTTCTATCACGCATAGAAATCGAGAGCGAATAATTTAACTGTTTTAGTATAAATCTACTAATCGTTCAAAACTTTACCTAAAACGTCAAGAAGCGGCCGTCATTTTGTTAACAAGCGCACACTGCCAGGGGCGTAGCGTGAGATTCTGAAGGTGTACGCACAGCGCGCAAATACTAGGGGGGTCTGGGGGCATGCTCCCCCAGAAAATTTTGAAATTTAGGGTCTCGGAAATGCCATTTCCAACTATTTCCGCGGAAATTTTTTTATAAATAAATGCGACGGAAAATGCCGTAGTTGGTTGTTTATTTTACCCATCTTTAGAGTTTTCGGTAACCTACAACAAAAAATGGGGTAAGACAGTGGTAAAAACAGGGCAAGACGTGCACTCTTTAGACGGGCGAACTCTGTTATAACATCATCAATGTCAACGTCCTTGTGCTTGGAAATGTGCAAAATTGCTAAAGAGCTCAATCTCCCA